TGACTAAAGAAGTGAGTGAAGAAGGAAGACATGGCAAAGACTACGTGGATCCACCTCCAGCTCCACTTCTAGACATGGCTGAACTAAAGCTCTGGTCTTTCTACAGAGCACTCATCGCAGAGTTCATAGCCACTCTCCTTTTCCTCTACGTAACCGTAGCCACCGTCATTGGCCACAAGAACCAAACCGGTCCTTGTAACGGTGTCGGTTTACACGGTATTTCATGGGCCTTTGGTGGCATGATCTTCGTCCTTGTTTACTGCACCGCTGGTATCTCCGGTAAATATTTCAACTAAACCAACCAAAAATTTTAAAATACTTTTGTCAAGATTTAATATTTGAAACTTGTTTTGATTGCAGCTGCAGGAGGTCACATTAACCCGGCAGTGACGTTTGGTTTGTTTTTAGCTCGTAAAGTGTCGCTCCTTAGAACGGTTGCTTACATGGTGGCTCAGTGTTTAGGAGCTATTTGTGGAGTGGGTGTAGTTAAGACCTTTATGATAACTCCGTACAAGCGTCATGGAGGTGGAGCGAACACGGTCGCTGATGGTTAAAGATATTCAGTGGCGAAGAAGACCGTGTAGACCAAGACGAATGTACCAATAATCTCAGCCCCGAGAGCATGGCCGCTAAAAAAAGTTGTAATATCTTTGAATATTTGTACATAGGTTGTTCATAATGGGTTTGTGTAATTTCTGACAAAATTAAAATCTTTCGAATATTTCATAGGTTGTACCACGGGGGCCCTAAGGATAAGCGGGCCAAGCCCATGCTTGCGGCCCAAATTTTTTGATGTTTTGATCGGCCCAAAAGTATACATAGAATTTCTTTAGTTCAGTTGGTTTATGAACTAAATAGAGGAAAGAAAAGATGGAGGGTTCGATTCACCCTTTAATCATTTTGTTTAATTTTTTTGTTTTCAAAAAATCAATAATTACTGGCCCAATTTTGTTTTGCTTATGGTCCTTATATACTCAGGGTCGGGCCCTGGTTGTACAAATGGGTCTGTGTAACTTGTAAGAAAAGTTGAAACCTTTTGAATATGTTTCATAGGTTTACAAAATGGGTTTGTGTAATTGCTAACAAATTTTTTAGAATATATCTCATAGGTTTTCAAAATAAGTTTGTGTAGTTTCAAACAAATTTAAATGTTTTGAATGTTTATCATAGATTTATGGCTTGCTTTGTGAATTATTGACGTAATTTCAATCTCAGAAGAGGGCCAGTCTTTGGGTTTGATAAAAGAGAAGGATAGCAACAGAGGAGGTTGGGGGAGGGGTCAATTAGCGGTAGATCTATGAAATTCATACTTTCTCGGTATGTTGCTTTTATGGGTTTTAGTAGAATTTTATTAATCGCTTTTTTGTTCTCTGTATGCATGAATTGAGTCATGATGATACGAAAGTAATTTTGGTTGCTCTTTTTGATTTTGGTTTTTTGCTTTCATGCACAAGAAGAGGCAATGATGTGGATTGATTTTATGATTGCAATTTTTGTTTAGTATAAAGATCCAGTCCGCCAAGAAGCTTTCCTTTCTCTAGCCAAGGTTTGAGCTCTATATTCACCCGTCAATCCGTGAATACAACTATAAGGTTTTATATTCAAAAGTAGAATTATAGATTTTAGGTTGAGGTTTACTTGAGCTTTAGATCTTATATGAGATGTTTGACTGTTACAAGCTTCTAATGAACATTTAGGAGGAGAATTATCAGCCACAGAAAGAGGAACAAGACTACGCTTTCTTACTTCAGCTACTTTTCTGGTTCAAAAGATCCTTTAGGTGTTGTCTAAGCTCCTTTTTTCTTTTTCTTAGGAAGTTATGATATTGAAATCCTTGATGGGATTTAGATTTGAAGGTGAAAGACTTCATATCATATTTCAATTGATTTATACTATTATTGGTTCTTTCTATGTAGTATATTTAGTTTTACGAGAACCAATCATACTTTGGAGTGTTGATAGCTTTCATGGTGGGTTAGATTGCCTTTGATTCCAGTTAATTTATGTGTCCCCACGTTCATCTTATGTCGTGGACTAACCAACGTTGTCTCATATTTAACTTTTAAAACTGGAAGACGTAATATGTGTGGAAAGAGTTGAGGATTTTACTTTGCACTCAGAATATGTGATGATGTACAAAAGCTAACCCATATGTTGTTTAGTGTTATACAAATATTTTGTTCATTCAGTGACCAACCAAATCCGGCACATTAGAAGATTATTAGCACATCCTCAACTAATCATTCATCAATTTGTGGGCTTCTGGATTTTTTGTTTCTTTTTCTTCGATTGTAATGGTGGTCGATTTTGAAATTGAAACAATTATATTCAAATAGGCATCTGTGAATGACCAAAAAATATTATTGTTACACTCACATTGATGTCATCTCATCAGTCACACTTATATACTGGTAAATCCCATAATCTTCTCTGGTTGGCTCACATCTTTAACAATAGTTATGACGTGAGCTTTATTCAAATTGTATCAACTTTGGAGTTTTATTTGTCTATTATACAGTATGTACACATATTTCAGAAGCATAAATTTTAGGCTAGCCAACTAGGCAAAAGATTAGGTTTTTATTTCATTCACTACAATAAAACACAGTTTTAGCGTCGGCAAAATTCGACGCTAACAGGTCCTAGCGTCGAATTAACGTCGAAATTTATTTCGACGCTAAATCTTATTCGACGCTATTTTTGCGTCGTATAGAATTTCGACGCTAATTCGATGCTAAATTAGCGTCGACTACATTTTGACGCTAAAACAAGTTTGACGCTAAGTCGACGCAAATTTAGCATCGAATTAGCATCTACATATCTCCGATGCAAAAATTTGACGTTAGATCGACCCTAAATTAGCGTCGAATTAGCGTCAAATGACGGCGTATGTGGACGCAAAATCGAAGCTAAATTGCAGATGTTTTGCATTGATTTAGCGTTGTTCTGATTGTTTTTTTTTTTTAAATTGAAAAATCAATTTTCTAAATTTTATATATAAATCCGAAATGCAAATTTTAATAGTCTAACATTACCGAAATACAAACACAAATTTAAATTATCCGAAAATAAAAATTTAAATTGTCTAAAAACAACGAAATAAAAACGCAAATCTACTGACGTTGCCTTAGGTTCATGGTATCTGCTCGAATCATATCTTCAGATTCTTCCTTGAACTGCGTTGGACCGGTAGGTGGAGGAGGCGGTGGAGGACGCTCCATATTTTGCAAAGCAGCTGCTAAAGTCGGGTTATCCACTGCGATAATGTCGAAGAGACTGGTCAATGTCGAGAGTTGGTCATGCATCGAGGTGTGTTCCGTCTTCAACCAGTCAATCTCATAATTAGCTACGGTCAACTGCGGCTCAGAAGAACTCGGAGTGTAAGAATACCGAGAACACAAAGAA